TTGAGCCACCCAGGCGTCCCCATAAAGGATTTTTTCCCTTATATTCAAAGCGAGGATAATAATGGCATAGATCACATAGAATTTTAGTGAAGCTTAAATGAGAGAATTGGATATAAAATATTTGTCTCAGTGCATGTAGAAGGTGCTCAGTAAGTGTCCTCTAGTATCAAGTATTGTCACCAGTTATCAACCAAGAGCCATTTATTATTATCTAGTAAAACTATACTAGGCACAGTGGTGCATACAGAGGAAGTAGGGGAGATAAGTTTGTACGTTCGGGAAACTTCGCGTCTACTGGAAGAAATATGCACGGTTCCAAGGCAGCCTGTGTGGAATGGTGTCTTCACAGTGCCAAGGAAATCCCAAGTCAATGGAAAGATTTCCATGGCATGGAATTAATCAAAGACAACTTTATGGAAGAAGTGAATCTTGAGCACGGACTTGGAAGTATTTTTGGAGATGAGAAAGCATTCCTGGGAAGAGGAGCAGAATGAGGGCTTGGGGGGTGGGAGGGGCAGAGCTTGTTCTAGGAGCAGGGAGAGATTGGAAAAGAGACCCCAAAGCGGGAATTTCAGGAGAAGAATGAGACGTAAAATGAGGCCAGGCTGGGAAGTTTAGAATGGTTGAAGAGCTGGTAACCACTATAAGTCTTCAAATGGGAATATTATGATGCAAGATTTGTGTTTCAGGAAAATTGGTGTGGGCGCCATTGGGTTAGACCACAGAGGACTGCTCTGGTGTTCAGGTGTATTTACCTGAAAATAGAGAAGGAAATTACTGAGCCTGAGTGCATTTTAGGAGGTGTTTGTCAAGTGTTTTGAGATCCATAAAGAATCTTTCTTGGGGCACCTTGGTGGTTCAGTCAGTTAAGTGTCTGACTCTTGATCTCGGGGTCGTGAGTTCAAGCCCCGCATTGGACTCCATGCGGGGTGTGGAGCCTACTTAAAAAAAAAAAAAAAAAAGAATCTTTCTCTACAGTGGTGGAAATGATGTGGCGGAAGGGAGAGAAGGCTCCAGCATCCTGCTCCTGCCCTACCTGCCCCCACAGAAATCATGGAATCACTGGAGACAATGGGAGTGTGGCCAGAGTTCACAAAGGGAGACACTCGCTTCCCAAAGACTGCTAAGAGTGTCTGTCAGGAACACTGACAAAATTGCAAAGGTATTTTTTTTAAGGAGGTTCCATGCCCCAGCTCGAACTCACAACCCTGAGATCAGGAGTCACGTGCTGGACTGCAGTCCAGGTGGACTGCAAAATGTATTTTTTAATCACACGTTCCATAGCTCCTCCTTGGGTCACACAGAAAGAATTAGCCAGTGGCAACCAGGAAAACGCTGCCCTGGAGGCTGTTGGTTATTTCTGGGTAGGTTTTTAGGTGTGAGGGTGCCTGTCTGGGACAACGGGGCAGGTGTGGGATGTGACACCATTTCATGTGTGACTCGTACCTTACTTGAGTTCTCGGGCTCTGGGGGAGGTCAGTCCTGACCACCCAGTGGTGGCCTCTGTGAACAGCTAATGACCTTGTCAAAGCCCTGCCGTGGGGGGGTAGGGGGTTGTGTTTCATGGTGGGACTGCTCTGAGGTGTGTGTGGAAGCACAGGTCAGCCCCACTTGTCCACGTCTCTCTCCTTGCGCTCCTACCTCTGGGCTAACTACATAAGGGAATTAAAAATGATGACCGAAACCAAAAAAGGAAGAAGACCTGGAGCCCTGTCTTCAAATATGCACCCCTTTGGTTGTGCTGGTAAAGCCGGGCATCGCTGTCTCAGTGAAGGACATGGCACAGCGGAGTCCGGGATGTGGGGTCACAGCCCTGCCACCTCCCTATCTCCACAGCAGTTTGAAGAGAGGTGGGCTGGGCAGTTATTTCAGAGTCTGGCTTTCCCTACGGGACCCCGAAGAATGTACACTATCACCCTTTACCATTCTTGATTCTTGTCCCGGCTTTCCTTCTTGCAGTATTCACGGGACCTAACACAGGAGGCGTTTCCTTGCTCACTGCCCTGTCTCCAGCCCTTAGAGCAGTAACTGTTACAGACGAGGCCCCTGGTGCACCTTTGATTAATGACTTTAATGAATAAACAAATAACTGACTGAAGAAGCAGGGCAGAGCAGATGTCTGACCAGCTCCTTCTGGCCCTCTGGAGGCATCTTCCCTTTCCCTGACCCTCTACCACTAAAGGACAGAGACCCTGGAGTCCCCCGTGCTTCACTGTGTTTGCTGTGTTTGATAGCGGGATTCACCCCCCAGCAAGGGGAGAGGCTTTCGTTCTCTGAGGAAATCCGTGGTTATGACAAAAGGCGGAACAAGGAATTCCCTCCCCTGTCTTTTCCGTATTTACTAGCTCTTTCTTCCTATGCAAAGAAGAGCCTCCCCTGGTTGAGTCGTGCTGTAAACCTCACCTGTGAGCACAAACAGGGCTTTCCATGTGTCCCACTCATCAAAGCCAAACCATCCGGCCCCACCCAGCTTCCCTCCACCCTGGCTGGGCTGAGGCCACAAGTTTCTATGCTGCCCATGTTGATGAACCCAATCACCAGTCTTCACTTTTCTCCTCCCAGCTCCGCACAAGGAAGGCCAAGAATGTAAGCCAGGGCCGAGAGCTGGCCCCTAGGGCTCTGTGACATGCCAAGGGTGGGTCACATCTGCCTGCGTCCTGCCAGAGAGCATCCTGAGAGGTTGTCGTGGAGGTGGGGGGGGGGCAGGGAGGGCGTGCAATTTCAGGTGCCACACATCTGGAAGGCAGAGAAAGAAGTCACCACACGTGCAGCAGTCTGTTTTTTCTTTTTAAAGTTTTTAAAATATATATATTTTTTAATGCGCGGCCATGGAAAGCACAGCATGGTAGGAACAGCTGGGCCGTGAGCCCTCTCTCCGTTTATGCTCGTGAGGCACCGAGAGGTGGGATTAGCAGCTCTTGGGAAGTTTGGCCCTAGCTGGCCTGTCACTGGGGAGTCAAAGCCACAGTGACCATTAGCAGGCACGGACTCCTGTCCTTGGCTCAGAAACGGTGCCCCCCCGCCCATGTGGCCTCGGTTGAACCTAGGAGTTGCAGAGCCAGAAAGATTTCACAGGAGCTTGATGAAAAGGTGTGGCAGAAGTGAGAGACGCTGGTGTGAGGGGGGCATCCCCGGGGATAAGACGTGTCACCCGTTGGGAGACAGAACTCAGCTCTCGGGCAGTAGGAACGTGTGAGGATGTGTGGGGTGGGCGGGAGGCGCGGTGGCGGGAGGGTAGGTGTGGGGGAGGGAGGAGGACCACAGGGGAATGGGGGCAGCTCAGACTCCTCAGTCCCCAAGAAGGACTGGTAGGTGGAGTTGAGGATGTTTGCACAAGGAAACCCTTTGAAGCTCTTCTCTCGTCCTCCCCTCTCTGGACCTGGTTCCCTCCCCTCCATAAAGCCATTAGCTTCTGGTGCCGGCCCTATCTCTGCTGCATCTCTCTTGGTTCCAGTCGGTGCATTCACAGACCTCCTGCCCTGAGGGACGGGGAGGATTTATGGGGGGTAGAGGGTAGAGGGGGAGGGGGCATCCTTTAGAGGAGGCGAGGTCTGTTAGGAAAGTAGAGTGTGGGGAGCTGTTAGTCCGCGGCGCTAGAGGCCAGATCATTTCCGAGCGGGCTCTGCATGACAAAGGGGAAGGAGCAAGTTTCTTCTTTGATCTGCCCCCTGCCGGCCCCACACACCTGCCTGTTGGTGCTCCCGCCCCAGCTGAGACCTCAAGAAGAAAAACCAAAAGGGGGTGGGGACCAGGCTGTGGCCCAGCTTCCCTGGACCCTGTTCAGGCCACCTTCCTCTCTTGGTGGCCCCAGGACAAAAATATCTCCTAGGCTGATGACCCGAAGCACCTGCCGCCCCCTCCTGGAGAGCCCGGAGACCCAGGGCCGCGGGAGTCGCGCGGTGAGATGGGGTGGGGGCGGCTGGGAGCGCGCGCGCCAGTGTGTGTGTGAGCGGGTGTAGAGTTGGAGGTGTTAAGGGGTCCTGGGAAGAAGACTCGTTGGAGATGTGGGGTCACGCCCTGGATGAAAGCTAAGGGGGAAACGAGGTGGGGGTGAGTGGGAGGGGGCGTGTTTTTATAGACTTGCTCTAGGATCCAGAAGCAAGGATTTTCCGTTTGTTTCCAAGGGCTGGAGGAAGGGTGCTCTTTCGGGGATACAGGCACAAGCGTGAGTTACAAAAAGCACAGGCAAAGATGTGGGAAACTCTTGAGCTCCAAGGGAAGGGGTCGTTGCTTTTGGAAGATGCGTCTTCGGCGCAGACCACTGAGGCCGGCGTTGCAGACCAAGAGCTCGCTGTTGCCGTCAGTGCTCCCGGCCGCCCCTCGAGGGCCACAGCGCAGAGGAGGGGAAGGAGGCCACCTAGGAAGAGACCACCTCACCCGAGGGAGCTTTAGGGGCACATGGCATTTGTCAGAGAAGCTGCCCTGAGAAAGTGCAAAGTCCTCGCCCTTCTGTCTGCTCTATTCCTGGTAAACAGGAGCTGAGATGCGGAAACTTCCTTGGAGTGAGAAGGGTACACATTGGGAGGGAAGACTCCTATTTGGCTGCAGGCAAATCCAACTCACCAGCTGTTCTTAGCCCAGGAAGGAGCGCTCTGACTGGAGTGAGATGTACAGGGAGGAGTGGATGGTGCCCTGGCTTCTTTGGATGTTCTGGAAGAAGGGCAGGTGTGAGCTGCAGCAACCACAGCATCTTCCTTGATGCTACCTGGAGCACATTCTGTTTTGGAAATGACTTGTTTTCATTTCTCTTTTCTAGTTTCTCAGCTCATTGTTTCCTTTGGAATTAGGTCCTGGGTAAGGTTCCCACAGTTTGGGGTAAGAGACACAAAGGCGGTCCCCCGGTGAGAAGAGTAGCCGTAGGAGATGGAAGATGGAAAGAGGCTGAATCTCTTTGTGGGGGGAGCAGAACTTGACGTTAGCCCCCCTTAGCACCTAATCCTTGGTGCTAACCCTCTCCTCGTCTCCCCCGGTCCTGCCTCATCGGCTGCATCTCCACATTGATGCTCCCTCCATTCTGTCTTCTCCAGGGAGCCCCATTTCGGAAGCCGACTGCCCCCGGGGTCTTCCCAGGGCACTGGGGGGGGCCGAGGCCGAGGCCAACCATGGCCAGCCTCCTGCTGCTAGCCGCCGCTCTGCTGTCCAGCTGGGCCCAGCTTCCGGCCGAAGCCAGCTCCTGGTGGTGAGTGAGAGCGGCTGAGGCCCTTCTCTACAACCTACGCCTCCTTTGGTAATTAAATGTGGAGAAGGGTCACCATGCGTTGTGATCATTCCTTTATTGGTAGGAATCCTAAGGACGCTTTCATCCCAGGAAAACTAGGACAGCCTTTCCTCGAACAAGCCCCCAGAGGTGAAGGTTCAGCGAGGATAAAGGATTAGTTCATTTGGGTTTTTCCTCTGATCCTGTCTGCTTTCCCCTTTTTTGGGACCTTCCTCCGTCCCCATGGGTTGTTAGAAATAGCTCTTGCGTTGTTATTGGATCAATAAGAACATTGATTTCTTTTTTTCCAGTGGGAGCAAGGAGAGTAGAATTCCTATTTTATAAGTCTGAAGACCAGATGAGAGGTTGAGAGATTTGCAGGACCCTTGTGTGGCCTTCTTTTGTGTTTTTAAGACTACTGTCATGGCCAAGTCAACCTGGAAATGGCCGGCCCTCCCCACCTATCTTGCCTGGGCTGGGCCCCGCTCACATTTGTACTCAGATGGCACATCTTACAGTCTTCTCATCTAACTGAACACTTTACTCTATCTGGTAGAGCATGAGCCGAAGCGAGGGCCCCTGAACGGATAGAGTGGGTTAGGGGATTTGTGGGTGGGATATGGAAGCGAAAACCTTTAGACTGTGTTGTGATGTATGTAAATTGGCTTCTGTTTGCAAGGCATAAGGGCAGTGCTATTTGAAGGAATTTATTGCTTTCCATCACATACCCTGCACACGGGCTAAAGTGAATGAATCATCTGCACCCCCTGAATAAGTCATGTGCTGTCCTGTTAAGGTTTGGCTGTTTCTGTCCTCCACCTGGAATGAATGTCCTCTGCCCTCTCTGTTGCCCTTCTCTGCCTGCCCCCATCCCTTAAGACCCATTTCACACTCTGGCCATTGCTTATAAAATCTTTTCTCTGGGGACGCCTGGGTGGCTCAGTCGGTTAAGCGGCTGCCTTCGGCCCGGGTCACGATCCCAGGGTCCTGGGATCGAGTCCCACATCAGGCTCCTTGCTCAGCGGGAAGCCTGCTTCTCCCTCTCTCTCCTTCTGCTTGTGCTCTGTCAAATAAATAAAATCTTTAAAAAAAAAAAAAATATTTTCTCTGGCTGTAAGAGCTCTGTCTCTGTCTGGTCACTGTGGATGCAGAAGCGCAAGTCTGGCTTTGGCCCTTGACACCTCCCGTGTCATGCGCGTTTGTGCTTCAGTTTCCTAGAATGCCCTTTGAAGACAGGGCCTCTGTTTTAGGAAGTTTCCTTTCCAAACCCTCAGTACAGGGCCTTGCACACAGAAGGAAAGCACTTGCTAAATGTGTCGAACGAATGACTTCATGCTGCACACAGCGCACGCTCACCCCTTGGCCTTCTGTCCCCTTTCTGGCTCTCCGCTGTAGGTCATTAGCTATGAGCCCGGTGCAGAGACCCGAGATGTTTATCATCGGTGCCCAGCCCGTGTGCAGCCAGCTTCCTGGGCTTTCCCCTGGCCAGAGGAAGCTGTGCCAACTGTACCAGGAACACATGGCCTACATCGGGGAGGGAGCCAAGACGGGCATCCAGGAGTGCCAGTACCAGTTTCGCCAGCGGCGGTGGAACTGTAGCACGGTGGACAACGCGTCCGTCTTCGGCAGAGTCATGCAGATAGGTAAGAGCCCACCGGCACATGGCTGGCTAGAGGAGCCGGGCTCGCCCCCCAGGCCCGGCACAGAGAGCCCTCACCGTGTCGGAGTTCTCCGAGGCTTGGAAGCGGTGTGCAAGGGGAGACGGAGATGCACACAGGAAGCAGGGTCTCAGATGCCGTGTGGGCCACCCAGCTAGCGCCCAGCTTCGCCCTGTCTGCGGCGGTCAGCGGCCACTCGCTCTGGGAGGGTGGCAGAACAGCGGAGTTGAGTCCGAGTGGATTACACTGCCCTTTGTCTCAGCACAGGGGGCGGGGGGGAGGGGGCTTGGACAGCATTGGGTAGAGAACCGAAAATTGCAGCTCTGAGAGTGCAGATGACTTTTACCTCTGCCACTTGGACCCTGAGAGAGAGATAGAAACTTTGGGCCAAATTGGTGATAGCTGTCATTAACCTGACCCAGATCCAGTCCTGGCTTTTTCATTCCAAAGGGATGTGTGTGAACGTGGGGGAAGGGGACAGACCCAGAAGAAAGATGAGAGGCCACCTCTTCCTGGATTCCTGTCCCTTCCCCTCTCCCCACTGCTCTCCGGCTGCCCTATTGCTTAGGTGGAGGTGTGATTTGGGGTCTAATTGTTTGAGGTCCTTTTGAAATGCAATCCTCCCCTCCCTGGCAAGAAATTGAGAAATCCGGCCCTATTCTACTGGGTCTGATCGGCAGGGCCATAGAAGGAAGGTGTTAGGGCACTGTGTTCTTCTGTCTCGCATTCTCTAAAAGAGTTTCCCCTCCAAGGAAGGAGGGCATTTGGGAGTTACTTGAGGCTGAGTTTTTCCCAAAGGACGATTTTAGCAGCAAGGAGGGTATGAGGAAGGCCCCTCTCTCCTGACCTCTTTCCCCTACCCATGTTGACAAGTGAGGACCAGGGGAAAGTATGCTTTGAACCTTGCTGCCCTCGTCCTTCCTTTAGTATCAACTCAAGGTCTAGACAAGGAGGGCTCAGATGTTCCTGCCACAGTCTTACTGGGCAGCTTTCCTAAAAGAATGGACTTGGGGTTAAGTGGGAATTGTTCATAATTTATTGATTCTCCTCAAATACACTTAGTATCTGGTAAAGTCTTAGCAGCACTCCCTGCGCTGGGTTCTGGATGAGGAGAGCAGGAGGACCCCAGGTGTAGAGAGAGACATCCACAAATCACTTTCAGGGACCTAATGCGTGCCTGACATCCCCTAGATCCTTTTCATGTGTAATTTTGTTTGAGTGACAGCCAAAAAGTGAGCTTTACTTGAGGAAAGGAAGGAGTTAGCAGGAATGGAAATGCCGCTGGGTGAGGACTGGCTTAGGGGAATGACTTGTGCCAGCAGGCCCTCCCATTCTCCCCGGACCCTGTTCTGTTATGAACGGAAACCCCTGCTTGCCTTATTTTCACAGTTTCTTTTTGTAGCTTCCCTGCAGACTTATGCTACCTGGGAAGCTATCCTCCATTCATGCCCTTGGTCCCAGGGTGGCTCCTGGGGAATCCTCTCTCTCTCTCTTTCATATATATGACTTCTGAGAAAGTCCTCCCTTCTTTGAAGCTGCTGCCAGAGTCCACCACCAGAGGGCAGCAGAGCACCTTGGAGGGAGCCGTGGTGCATGGCTCAGCCTTGGTCAGGGGTGCATGGGGGCACCTTCCTGGTAGTTGGGTGGCACTACTGAGAGAGAGAGAGAGAGGGCGTGCTCCTGTCCTGCTGTCTCCTTGTAGGGGGAAGATGCCAGGTCTCTCTAGCAGCAACATGGCTGCGGGTTTATTAGCCTCTATCCGTGAGATGGTTTGAGTTTCCACTCTGAGTTGTTGCACGTTTAGAGAAGCCCCCCAGCTTGCTTGTCCATTCTGAAGCCCTGCATTATGTCTTGCTGGCTGAGAGCAGCACTCGTAGTCTGCACTTAGCAGAAGACCCAGTTGCTCCCCAGGAATGCAGAGCTGCCTACCCTCGATGCCCCAACCAAAAGAGGCAGAGCACCTGCAAGGACACCTAATCCACCTGAGGACAGAGTGGGATCCGAGCCCATCATGATAGGCCAGGACGGTCAGAGCAGAGTGTCTGCATAATTATGCTCAGATGCGGGCACATTATTTTGAAAGACAATTCTGAGAGACGTGATTCAGCTCGGAAAAGCATGTTTGCTAAAGAACTGAGGAAGAAATCAGACTTCTGTAGCCTGGAAATGACAAAACATAAAAGGCCTATCAGTTGTTTTCAAATGCTGAAAGGCTGTCAAATGGGAAGGGATTAGACAGCGTAGCTCCAGCAGGCGGAAGTTACAGGGAGGCATTTTTCAAATGACTATAAGAAAGAATGTTCTGGTGATTAAAGTCATTAAAAGATGATGGGCTGGGTTGCCTTGAAAACCCAGCCGGCTTCCCTGAGGAATGCTGTGAAAAGGAAGAGTCACAGTGGGAGGGATGTAGGTCAGGCTGCACATCAGGGCTCCTCCCTGTCCCAGGATGCCAGGTCAGGGGCTTGCGACTCCATCTCAGGAAGACTTCTCAGGCATGGCTCCCGCACCGAGGGGAATAGGCCCTCCTCCAGACGAGCCTGTTGGTCACCCTAGCATCCTGGTTGCTCATTCTCCTAGTCTGACTACCCTAGATTAGATAGAGCCCTGGTCTCTGGCAGTGGATCAGCACTGACTCAGATGTCAGTCCTGATGGCTGAATCATGAGTGTGACTTCCCACCTCATCTGGGTTTTTCTTGTCCTGCTCCTAGTCCACGTCTGACCAGAAGCTGACCCCTGGTTCCTTGAGAAAAACTGACTTGGCCAGTCTGGTCTGGTTGCAAGCTTGACTGTGTCCTACCTAGACAATCAAGAAGGAGGGCAAAGTGAGAGACCAGTTGAGGACTGTAGACTGCTTCCGTCTCCACCTGCCAAGACAGGATTATGGGAGGTCTACTTTTTTTTTTTTTTAAGATTTTATTTATTTATTTGAGAGAGAGAGAGAGAGTGGGGAGGGGTAGAGGGAGGAGCAAACTCCCCGCTGAGCAAGGAGCCTGATGTGGGACCCAGGACCCTGGGATCATGACCTGAGCCAAAGGCAGATGCTTAACTGACTGAGCCACCCAGGTGCCCCTATTTTATTTTATTTTTAAGATTTTGTTTTTTATGTAATTTCTATACCCATCCCCACGATGAAGCAGCCAAGCGCCCTACTACTTGCCTTTTTGATTCTAGCCATCCTCATGAGTGTACAGTGGTATCTCATGGTGATTTTTTTTTAAGATTTTATTTATTTGTCAGAGAGAGACACAAGCAGGGGGAGCAGCAGGCAGAGGGAGAAGCAGGCTTCCCGCTGAGCAAGGAGCCCGATGTGGTGGGACTTGATCCCAGGACTCTAGGATCATGACCTGAGCTGAAGGCAGACACTTAACTGACTGAGCCACCCAAGCGTCCCCTCATGGTGATTTTGATTTGCATTTCCCTGGTGGCTGAGTATTATTTTTTTATAAACATTTTTATTGAAGTGGAACGTGCATCATAGGAGTTTTTAAGCGGTTCACTACAGCAATAGAGAGGAACACAGTTCAGAGTTTCTACTGGAAGTGATCTGGACATTTGGTGAGATGGTGCTGAGTATCCTGTAGATGTGGTTCCCCAGTGCTCTCAAGTAGGGAGGCAGCGTGGATCCCGTGCAAGGCTGGGGGAAACAGCATGGATGATTCTGGACATTGTAATTCTGGCTCGCTTCTCCTCCTCGTCTCTGCCACTGTCTAGCTAGATAACGGCAACAATAAAAAAGACAGATGTGTGGCCCGTTGAGTGGTGAGAAACTGGCAGCTGTGAGGGAGAGGTTTTTGCTAGGATACAGAGTCCTACTATTGGTCCCATGATTTCTACTCTGGCTCATTCTGTTTGTCCCACATGTCCCATAAATTCCTTAATGCCCACCCTCCCCTCCATTTAGGTCTGCCTCCTCGGAATCTACTGGCCATGTACCCTTCCCTGGAACGGATATTAGTGTGGGCCAGGGCTGGAGGGATTCATTCGTCTGTGTGTTCACAGGGTAGGGGAGGCAAATTTCTGCTCGTTATCAAGAGCAGTTTCCAACCCTTAGAGCCATGGGAAGTGAAAGACGCTTCTGCTGACATCGTTTCGCCTCCTGGGAGTGTTACCGGCCAGGTGATGGTGTTGGGCCCAGGAGAGGCTGAAGGAAGGAAAGGGCCTCCGTAGGAGGCTGGCATCCCTCCCCCCCTCTCCCGCCTTCTCTTGCAGGAAGCCGGGAGACCGCCTTCACGTACGCAGTGAGCGCCGCGGGGGTGGTGAACGCCATCAGCCGGGCCTGCAGGGAGGGTGAGCTCTCCACGTGCGGCTGCAGCCGGACAGCGCGGCCCAAGGACCTCCCCCGGGACTGGCTGTGGGGCGGCTGCGGGGACAATGTGGAGTACGGCTACCGCTTTGCCAAGGAGTTCGTGGATGCCCGCGAGCGGGAGAAGAACTTTGCCAAGGGGTCGGAGGAGCAGGGCCGAGTGCTCATGAACCTGCAGAACAACGAGGCGGGGCGGAGGGTAAGCGGAGCTCCCCCACCTCCAGGCACGCACGCGCCGCCCGCTAACCAGCTGTTCTGGGCCGAGCTGGGAGCCGTGGCCTGGCCATGAGGAAGGGGGTCGTGCTGACCACGGTGATTCTGACCTACAGCCGCCGACCTAGATGCCCGCATTGCCGACCTGATCCATTTCACGAGGCTCCATTCCCCAGCAGGGCACGTGCACTTGTCATTTTTATGAACCTTGTTTATTTCTGCCCAGGACAGCTGTCCCTAGAGCACTTGGGAGCAGCCTCGTCGTCAGGATTCCAGGCGCTCGAAGTAGAGTTCTTGTCTTCGCTGCCCCTCCTCTGTAATGGGAGCAGATAGGACAGCCGCCAGTTAAGGCCGTTAGACCCAGCCTAGGGTTTATGATTTGTGAGAGGTGCAGGCGGAAGCACAGCTGACTTTTAAGAGCTGCTATCACGCACAACCGGAGGCCCGATCCAAAAGCAGAGGTCGGCGCTAATGGCAGACACACTTCTACACCCAGAGTGCCTTGCGGGAGCCGAGTGGGAGAGAGAACCATCTTTTGAAGGCTGTCTCACCAATCACATGTGAGACGTGACTGTTTTTGAGTCTCAGTTTCGGTAGAAACTCAAATGTGGGCTTTGAGGTGAGCGTGGTTTCCCGCACGTGCAGAGCGTACCTGGGCATCGGCTCTAGGCTTCCTTGATGGCCGGGCGGAGGGCGCGCGCTTTCTCTGCCTGCACCTCGCTCGTGAGGACCTCACCCCTGGGCACATGCTCGGTCTCTACTTCCCTTTGCTGCGCCTGACATGGTCTGCCTCCGCCGCAGGATCCCGGAGGGCTCGCTCAGGCAGCAGCTCTGCTTGCTGCTGGTTCGGGGTTATCCCGTGTGGAGGGGAGGGTGGGGGTGCACCAGGGTCTCCCTTATAGAGAGACGTGAGGTCTGAGTGCTGGGTGGTAGGAGTCGCTGACGGCACAGGGCCAGGGCGGACCACAGACCTCTCAGGAAGCTACACAGACTTCTTTCTGGGCGTGTTTTCCGCATTCAGGTCTGTGTCGAGCCAGCTGGCTCAGGGGCCCAGGCAAGATACTGTCGTGAGACCAAAGATGAAGTAATGAAACAATGAGACTAGCAGTTTCCTGAGAAGAAATCAATTCAGAAAGTTTATGTTGGTTCATTGGTGATTCAGGAACAGGATATGGATATATTTCTAAAAAAGTATTTACCAATTTAAAAGCTCGACTCATGTTTCCCAGTGAGCACGTATCAAATAAATGGAATTGAAATGGCTTTTCTGTGACTCGGGACCTGTAATGTTGGTTTGGTAGAACGTGGTAGGCTTGTGTAAACTTAGTCTCGTCAGTAGTGTGATGTCAAGTTGAAATTAGCGTTGGTCATTTGCCCCGTGTCTTCCTTTTAGAGCCCATATCCGAGGCTAGATGTGGGTGTGAGGGGTCGTGTTAATCCGGGGCAATGTTAGGAGTTCTGGCTGTTGCTCTGGTTCAAACCAGGGCACAGAGAACAGCACAGTCTTAGATGACTTTCCACTCAGGGCATCTGTGGGGCCACCTCTGTCCCCCACAACTTCCTCTCTGGCAGTCTGCTTGCCAGTCTTTGGGGCTCTAACCACGAGAGACTGGAAAAAAAGGTTAAGATCTTCACTTTATCTCCCGAATGCCCAAATTCTATCCATTTTTTAAGATCCCAGTTCAGATACCACCTATTCCTTAAAATCTTTCCCATCCTCCATCATTAGTAGGCTCTCTGCATCTGAACTGCAGTAGGTTATTTGCTACATTTTGAGGTCTGGCCTACTTCACCTCCTCCCTCTGGCTGGAGCTTTCTCAGCCCAGGGATTCTGTCCATAGCTCCCCGTGCTTTACTCTGGTGGGTGGGCGCATGTGAATCCAAGCAAAGTTCCCATACTGCCGCCTAGGAAGAGGTCAAATTCATGGAAGGCTGTTTCCTGTCCTTACTCTGAGCTCTCCTTGGGGTGTTGCGGCAGATGCCGAGGTGACGGCATTCATCCTCATCCGGGCCCCATTGCAGTCGCAGGCTTGACCCCACTTCTGCTGGCTCCTCGTTTTATTGCCCTTAATTGTTTGTTTGTTTGTTCTGGCCCTTATCTTGGCCAACCTTCCTTCCATCTGCCTTGTTTCTCACTTACACACCTTCCCCGTCTTCCTCTGTCTGTCTCCCTGCCTTTGGGCCTCCTTCCCCCAGTCTCCACACCTCTTCCACAGCCTTTATCTCTTCCTTTGCTTCTGTCTGCACCGGGTTGGGAATTCCTGTCCCTCTCTATTTTTTATCCCCTCTCCAAGGAGCAGGCCTCCGCCATCAATCACCATCTGAGGCCAAAGGTATTCACCTCCCACCTCCTCACACCTACACAAAAAAATTCCGTAGGAAAGACTAAAATGGTGGCAGGAGTTGAAAATTCCCTGGATTGTATTTTACAACCAGTTAATTTTATTTTTAAGTCATCTCTACACCCAACATGAGGCTCAAACTCCCAACCCCAAGATCAAGAGTCGCCCACTCCACCGACTGAGCCAGCCAGGCACCTCAACCCCCAATTTTTTTTAATGGACTATCTAGGATCTGACATCTTGGCCACAGAGTAGATCTGGGGCATACTTTGCAGGAAATTTCTCTTGGCCTTTGAGAGTCTCTAGTAGCCCCATTGTAGACATTGATGGCCAGAGCAGTGGGCTGATACTGCCTTGTCACTCAAGGGCTTAAGCACTTTCCAGATAAAAGCTGCCTAATCCTCGTGACATTACTATCAGTTACCAAGCGCAGTCATACCATTAGACAGTGCAGAAGAGGGACTTAGGGCTTTGCCAGGAGGCAAGATGTAGAACTAAGAAAATGTTTTAAAAATTAGCTTTTATCACTTTTTCAGTTAGCAGGAAAGGCTAAAAATTGGGATTTTTTTTGGGGGGGGGGACTTCTCCCGTCAGAAGAGCTTCCATATATTATCAATAGTAAAATACTTAAGAATACAATTATTACAGTGTCTTTCTTCATAGAGGAGGGGTGGAATGAATGTCTCCTTAGTGAAGATCAGTGACACTTTACTCTCGGATTTGTTTTACAAAAGCTCCCGTTCTTACTCTGTGGAGTCTCCTTCAACTCTCCTTCCTCAAATCTCCCTAAGTGTAGGCTTCCAGTAGAGATGTTTATCCTGTCCCCTTGGTCACTTAGTGGCAGGGTACACAGTTTTAGGCCCTTAATGTTTCCTGCTTCCAGCAGCGCCAGATGCCTGACCTCCCTCTCTAAACCAAGGACCACTTCCAGAGGAATGTCAGGCCCCAGCTCAGACTTGGGGTGGGGGGGAATATGTGCCAGAAGAGGGTAATTGCAGACCCCATCTTTGAAGTGCCTGTTGGAATGGGGTGTTGGTCCCTTTATGCCCTGGGCCTGGAGCTGCCCGCACAATGCTGGTGCCTTTAACCTTGGGGAGGAGCCTCCTTCCTTCTCTACTAAGCCGTTTTTAAGCCCCAAGATTGGAGTGCAAAAGGGCTAGTCATTCTGACTCCCTTCTGGGTGGCCCTGAACAGATTACTGAGCCTCTCTAGAGCTTCAGTTTCTCCAACACAAAATAGTAGGAATAATTCCACACCAGAAAAGAAAAAATCAGGAAGAGTTTTGACAGTAGTAACATGAGCTGATGATGCTGAAGCGATTTCTTGCCCCAGCAGGGGTGTCGGCACCGCACCGAATAAAGACACAATCTGGGGACTCTTGAAAAGAAATCTGAGAGAAATCCTTGGAAAACGAGTCCCGACTCATTTGGTGACAACGGCTGCGGCATAAGAAAATGTTCTGCAGCGGGCTTGCATTTTTATCCTGCCATCTGTACGCCCGGGCCTGCTGCCAGGGCCCCGTCGGACACAATGCGTCAGGATGCTTGCATTGAAAAGCACTTTGTAAGCAGCATTCCGGGCGACTCTTGCTTTTTACAGTTTTGATTTGCAATAGCCCAAGTTCAAATCCACTCCACATTGTTGTGGTTCAGTGGCTTTGAGATGGGTTTGTTTTCAGATGAATCGCCCCTGATGGTGGGCCCAGCGACCCGCTCTTGCTTGGCCCAGGGCCCCCGCACCCTTCCTCCCCACTCAGCCTCTTCAGGGGGTGTCTGCTGGTGCCGGGGTGCAAGAAAATGGTCTTGGTCACAAGTACAGCGTGGTTTGTGGTGAGGCCCCTATGACTTCGTGGAGTTAATGACCAAATGTTAACACAGAAAAAGGCACTGTTGAGTTCTTAGGGGATTTGGCGGAGAGTCATGGAGAGCTTTTGCAAACCACCGCCATGCCTGCAGTTTCTGTCGCAGGCTGGTATCACGGCTGGATTTTTTTTTTCCGACTGTACTCCATTTCATGCAAAAGCTGGACAGGGTTTGTTGCTTTGTATTTGTTTGTTTGAGACTTTGGTCAAGGTAGAAGTATCCTTTTTTCCCCCTGATCGTAAATATGACACATGTATCATAACAAGTTTGAAGTAATAAGAAATGGACAAAGTAGGAAGGGCAAGGGCACCAAATGCCATCATCCCTGGAGCATTGCCTCCCCAGTGTTTTTCTACGTGGTGCTCCTTTTATCTGCTTTCAATCTGCGTAACCGAGCTTCCTGGAAAGATCTTTCTGTACATTTGAAGATTACTCCCCCCCCCCCCCCCCCCCGCCTCTTCCGTATTTGGCCTCTGGCGCCCCCAGGCACCCTCCCGACACCTTCCCCCGGGGGTCCTCCTTCTGACCGCCTTCTTTCTCCTCCCCTCAGGCTGTGTACAAGATGGCGGACGTGGCCTGCAAATGCCACGGCGTCTCGGGGTCCTGCAGCCTCAAGACGTGCTGGCTGCAGCTGGCCGAGTTCCGCAAGGTGGGGGACCAGCTGAAGGAGAAGTACGACAGCGCGGCCGCCATGCGCATCACCCGCAAGGGCAAGCTGGAGCTGGTCAACAGCCGCTTCAACCAGCCCACCCCGGAGGACCTGGTCTACGTGGACCCCAGCCCGGACTACTGCCTGCGCAACGAGACCACGGGCTCGCTGGGCACGCAGGGCCGCCTGTGCAACAAGACGTCGGAGGGCATGGACGGCTGCGAGCTCATGTGCTGCGGCCGCGGCTACGACCAGTTCAAGAGCGTGCAGGTGGAGCGCTGCCACTGCAAGTTCCACTGGTGCTGCTACGTCAAGTGCAGGAAGTGCACGCAGATCGTCGACCAGTACGTCTGTAAATAGCCAGCGGGGGGCGCTCTTCCAGCCGCTTCTCCACTCTGCCTCACAAAGTTTATATTATATAAATCTATATAAATCTATTTTATATTTGTATAAATAAAGGGATGGATGATAAATAATTAAAAGAAGAAAATGGAAAGGAAAAGCTTATTTAAGAGACGCTGCTGGAGATGTTTGAGGATTGCACTGTGCCGGGGCGGGGCGGGGGGCAGGGGCTTTCCCCCCTCCCTCAGGACGTCGGGACTTGGGGCTAGTCGCTGTCTATCCACCGTGGCCTTGAGGAGTGGCGGGTAGATGGAGAAGATGATTTTGTCTGGAGTCTGCCGGCTGGATGACCGCCCTGTGACCCCCGTCATTAGGCCAGGAGGCCTGCGCAAGGTGGCAGGAACTGCACTTACACCATCCCGTCTTCAGGGTCTTGTCCAGAATACGGGTTGGTTCCGGAAGAGGCCCGGTATTTTCTTCCCCTTTCACTCGTGTGCATCCCGGCAGAACCCACAGTTACAGGAATGAGCAGAGGTCCGATGTCATCTCTGACAGGTGACCACACAGAGGGACCCGCGCCTCCCCAGACTCCCAGGCCTATCTGTCCAGCGAGAATGTCTGTCCCTCCACAGTTCACTAGGTCCTGCCAACGGTTCCCTGAACCGAGGGGAAAGGGGGTCAACTGGCCTGACATGTTAGGAGAGAGATGAACTGAATGTTTGTGCCGGAGCCGTCGTCGAGAGCCAGGAGCGTCCCTGGAGCGAGTGAACGTTGCACTGTGCTCCCATAGGGAGAGGAAACGGGGTGCTGCTGCTGTCACTTCCTCCACCACGGGGCCCCCCTGAGCGACAGGAGGTGCGGCCAGCTCAGGCTCAGCTGGCCTGGCACGCCCTTTCCATCTCTGCCCCGGATGTACAGTGTCTCTCTGACATTAAATACCCTTCACTGGAGTCTCTCTCCCTTTCCTTCTTTGGACACATGATTATCTTTCATGAGTCTCCTTTTCTTTTTGATCTGATCCTTAGAACCCTGCTACGCAGCGCGTGCGTGTGGGAGAGGGTAAGGAAATGGACACTTTTTAGGGCTCTAGTCTGGTGGTTGGAGACAGAGACAGAATATTATGAGAACTGAATAAGGTAAAGCATTTAAGCACTCTCCCCAAGGGCCAACACAAAGTTAAATACTCGTAAATACTAGCTATTAACTCTTACTATTAGGAACAAAAGAATTCAGAGATTTCAGTTTAAAACTCATGTTGACCTTCCCTTCTCGCATCCTACAGCCCACCCGGTCACCTCTGGTTTATTCACTGGGTTCTTGGTAAAGCACAGGTGATGGGGACACTCTGTGCAGGCTTCTCTGTGTTGCCATGTCCAGTCTCAGACTCCAGGATCTGGAGCCGAGAGAGAGAGGAAGCAGAGCTCAGGGATGATCCACGAAGGGAGATGTTATATTCTAGAAAGGGAGGCAGTAGTTTCTGGGACACACTGATCCAGGTGCACTGGAGTGATCAGCCTGCAGGTGACCCAGTAAATCATCCCATAAAGACACCGGTTTTATTCTAGAAAAATTTACTTCTGGGGAAATAGTGGAGTTAGGGAGTCCACTTGGGTTATAATGAGCAAATTATGTTGCAAAACAATCTAGAAGAGATTCTGTCAGAATCAGAATCATGGCCATGTATATGACTTGTGACTTTAGGGCCTAAAGAAGAACCTCCTGACGTGTCATCAAAGAACATCAGACCTCGGGTTATTTCACCCTATTCCTCACGCTATTACTCAGATTCCTTTGGTTGACATTTTCAAGATGAATAGTCCATGAAAGAAAGTGGTTGAAGTCGACTGGCCTACAAAAGATCCAAACCATGTCCTTGGCTTCATTAGCTGGCATTTAGCCAAACGAACTTGGTCACACAGATCAACCATGGTAATAAGGTAATAAGGGTTTGGGACACGGGCTGGCACTATGGCTCTTCCCTACATCACTGTCGTAACTCCTGGAGGGTTACCTTATGTCAGGTGCTTCAAGTGTTTAAGAGCCGAAATCCAGTTCATCTTTAGAAACTTCAGGAAATTAGCCGTGAGAGACTAGTCCAGAGAAAGTGACTTTCATGTTCACAAAAGGAGAGGCATCATCCCTGAATTCTTTTGAGGTCTTCCTGCAGAGTCATGGCAAGGGGATTGAGTAAATATTAAATATTTTCTTTCTGACCTAGGGAGCAAGTCATGTGTTCAAATACCAATGTGATTGTTGCAGCCACTGACCACCAAGGTTAGGAAAGATTGAATTGTCCAAATAGATTGGGATGAAGTTATGGTTACATGTGTGTTAAGCCCTGGTGAGCTGGCAGTTGTCTGTGATGTGACCAGAAATGTGTAGGAATGTGGCTGGAAAATCTGAAGACCAACCTGAGACCGTGAGCTTCTGCTCAGAAACCACACACTGGGGTTGCCTGGGTGGCTCAGTTAGTTAAGTGGCTGCCTTCAGCTCAGGTCACGATCCTGGGATCGAGTCTCGCATCGGGTTTCTTGCTCAGCGGGGAGCCTGCTTCCCCTCTGCTTGCTTATCCCCCTGCTTGTGTTCTCTCTCTGACAAATAAATAAATAAAATCTTAAAAAAAAAAAAAAAAAAAAAGAAACCACACACTGTTAGAGCATGGACAGAATGTGGCAGTCAGAGCTCCTGCTCTTCCAGATGAGGACCTCCAAATCTTGAGCAGGTCCCAAACGTCAGTGTGCTGTAAAAATGCAGAGTCCCAGGCCTCCAGCCTCAGAACTTTGTATCCAGTTGGTCTGGGGTAGAGCTGGGGCAACTGTCTGAATCTTTAACAAGGCCCTGAGGGGCTCCTCTGCTGGTGGTCCAGAGCCTGCCCTGGACCTATGGTCAGGATGAGCTGGCCCACGATCCACAGGGAGAGAGGCATCCAGGTCCTCTCAGCTACCCTGTGTAGGATTTTTCTAGTACCTGAAATGTATTATGATTAACACGTAGTCTGACTGAAGGATCACGGATGTGATGGATCATGGATGTAATGCCTGGATGTAAAGCAGTCCTAGCCATCCCAGGGATCCTTTCTATTGAGGGGAAAAAGCATTCTGGCACAGAGCAGAACTGTTTTGCCCTGGGATGTTCTACGTCCCTCCTCTGCCTAGGAGCGGTAGGGGGAAGCCTACAGATCTATTACAAATATAGTAAGGTAATATTCTCTTAGCTATTTGTTTGCATGTATCCATCTTGTCTTCAAGATAAAATTAGGAGAGCGGTGGGGCACCTGGGTGGCTCAGATGGTTAAGCGTCTGCCTTCGGCTCAGGTCGTGATCTCAGGGTCCTGGGATCGAGTCCCGCATCGGGCTCCCTGCTCCTTGGGAGCCTGCTTCTCCCTCTGCCTCTCTCTCTCTCTCTGTCTCTCATGAATAAATAAATAAAAAATCTTTAAAAAAAAAATTAGGAGAGCGGTATGTCTGACTGCCTCCATTTAAAAGTCGACAAGAGAGTCAGAAGGCAGTCACAGCTAGACTTAAGGTGAGGGCAGGCCTCTGTTCACAAAGGCATTCTGATGGAAGTCGCTCAAGAATTTGGATTCGAAACCCTAGTTTGGAGAACTCAGTTCCCAGTCGGCTGCTCTCTATCCCAGGAGGTGAGAAACAAAACTTGCTCTGTTTATTCCTCCCTGCTTGCTGTCTCACTTTGTCATCTGTGGCTGAGAGGGCTCCACGACACACCGCTCTCCCAGCTGCAGTCGTTCATCAAAAAAGAAACCTACTGCTTGGGCAGAGAGCCACACGATCTCAAGAAGGTGGAAGAAAATAGTTATTTCCATCTTAAAACGGGCTCTGACGCATAGCCAGACCCCACTGACACTGGTCACATGTATCTCGGGAGAACTTCAGTGTGTACATGCGTGTCCGTGGGTGGGTGTATGGGGGTGTGCATGCATGCTCATGCACACCCATGCACGCAGGAATGGATGTTTCTCATCAGTTTTGGAGGGGATGTGGGGAGGCACTTGAGGCAAGGAAGCTGTAACAAAAAAGTAAAAATCACTGTCACCCCTTCTGGCCGAAATGCTGCAGAATATGGATGGTCCGTCTTTACTGGAAGTCCTTGCGCTCTGGTTGGCGAGTGATGACAAGCTTCCTATCTCTGGAAGGAATGTTGGGAAGCTGAGAAGGGCCACCTGAGCCGCTCTTGCTTGCTAAATATTCTTGGTAGTCCTTTATTATTCTGGAATCCCTGCACTGTATTTATACCAAAACAATAAGTAAAGGATGCTTTAATTCCTGGTTTTACAGAAGATTTGTGGGTAATTTGCCCATAAGCAGGAAGGTTTTGCATAGATGTGAGGGTCAGACATTAGGCAACAGCAAGACTGAGCTCTCAGCTCTCGCACAGCTAGTTTTCTAGATTCTTTGGGCATTCATCCTATAGATTATCCACATTCTTTTCTTTCTCCCTCCTGCTGTCTGCCTTTTGGTCTTCAATCTGTTCATTTGCAACTCTACCACAGGCAGCGACAGAAGATAGAACCAAATCAGTTCATTTGGGCCTCCTAAGTAGTTTTGATAAATAACTGAGTGGGAAAAGGAGGGGCTAAAATTAGATTTTAAAATTATCTGTGAATTCAATGTGTCACTTACGTGTATTATCTACTACTCCCCAGGATAACTGAAAATAGATAGAAGCTGTCTGCAGCCAAAGTAGGTAGGAAACCACAGTGTCTGTGAAGACAGAGTTTGCCTCCGTGTGGGGCCTCTCAACAAAGCATCAGAAGGGGCCTGCAAAAGAAATACGCTACAGGAAGGGTGAATTTTTTTTTAAGATTTATTTATCTACCTTAGAGAAAGAGAGAGAGCACAAACAAGGGGAGGGGCAGAGGGAGAGAAAGAGGGGAAGCAGACTCCCCGGCTGAGGAGGGAGCCCAGTTGGGGGGGGTGCGGCTCTATCCTGTGACCCTGAGATCTGAGCAGAAACCAAGAGTCCAAGGTCCAGCTGACTGAGCCACCCAGGTGCCCCAGGGTAAACTTTTTAATTCAATTATAAAGTCAAAAGGAAGACGTATTGTTTTAAGTGGCCCTGTGACTCCAGTATATTTTCTAAGACTTGGGGTGTCGGGTCAACCAGCCCTTCCGCTGGTACTCGATTTGAAGTTTATGTCCTTTTCTCATATACTTATGTTATTTCCAGAGACCGTTTGAGTAGAAAGGAAGTTTCATAGAGGATTTTTTTTTAAAGATTTTATTTATTTATTTGACAGACAGAGAGAGGGGGAGCACAAGCAGGGGGAGTGGGAGAGGGAGAAGCAGGCTTCCTGCTGAGCAGGTAGCCCGATGTGAGGCTCGATCCCAGGACCCCGGGATCATGACCTGAGCCATGACCTGAGCCGAAGGCAGCCGCTTAACAACTGAGCCACCCAGGCGCCCCCATAAAGGATTTTTAAAAATCTCTTTTGTTTCCAGCTCTGTCTCCTAGAACCTTAAAAAATGCCTCACACAGAGAAAGCATTCAATAAATACTTGCTGAATGAATGAATAAAAGATGATTTTTACTAAACAGATGAGGAAATCGAGGGATAAGATTAACTGCCCAGGCCACTGTGTAGTTTGTTCTCTCAAAGCTGTAAGCAACAGAAATCAACTTGAATCAGCTTCAAGGGAGGGAGGCAGTACAAGGGTTCAGGAGAGTCTTAGTGACTGCAGGGTCTTTGGGAGCTGAAGGCAGACACCCCTGGCTCTCTCTCCCTCCCCCTCCTTCTTCTCTGTGGTCCGCTTCCCTCTGTGTCTCTGCAGACCAGCTTCCTCTGCTCCTCATGGCGGGAAACATGGCAGCCAACAGCATCCGAAATAACAGGCTCTGGCTCCAGCCATGGGAAATTGATTCCAAATTTCTACTGACCCTTGTGCCAAATTCCCAGGCAAGGGGCTCCTGGGCCAGGGCTCCCTCCACCATC